CTCAGCGGATCTCCTGCAGCCTATTAGCTCCCATTTCCCTTCTCTCTCATGCTCAGCAGATCTCCTGCAGCCTATTAGCACCCATTTCCCTTCTCTATGTCTCAGCAGATCTGCAGCCTATTAGCTTTCCCTCTCTATGTCTCAGGATCTCCTGCAGCCTATTAGCACCCATTTCCCTCTCTATGTCTCAGCGGATCTCCTGCAGCCTATTAGCACCCATTTCCCCATTTCCCTCTCTATGTCACACATTTACAACAAGCAGTCACAAAGGTAAATGTAAAATAAAAGCAGAGAGGGAGAGAAGGCTGATAAAGCAGCTCATCGATGAGAGGTACATAAGAACATACAATGTCAATACAAAACAGTGACATGGCCATCAATCACAAACGATCGGAGCAGACAGATCGGTGTCATAGGTGTCCCGTGGGTCCTGAACTGCCTCCAGCGCAGGGACAGTAGCAGGGTGTAAAGCAGGTAGGTACTCCAACTTTCTCATTTCTGCTCTGACCTTCATCAGTGCCGGTAACATGGGGGACATAGAAGACAGCCAATGCATGGGAATGGTTCTCCTGGCTGCCCTCAGAATGTAGGTGGAAAGTTTCCTTACACATTTAGAGAGACCCGAAAAGGTAGACCCAACAGAAAGTAAATGGGCTCAAAAGGGACAGGAGCCAGGAAAAGTAACCACAATGGGGTAAGGACCTCCTCCAAAAGGGCGCAATGGACCGGCAATCCCAAAAAATGTGGAAAAGAGTGTCAGTTTCCGTCCCACAACACCAGCAAACAGAAGAAACATTCAGGTTACTACTATCATGGAGAACCTCAGGGGTCCGATACCAAAACATCGGGGTCTTAGAAGGATTTTCTGTATACATTACACACACAGAAGATTTAGAAGAGGCCTCCCAAATCCTACTCCATTGATCCAACCCAAATATCACATTGAAGGAAACGGGACCATTTACACATATAAAGGGGAGAATCAATAGAAAAAGGGCGACATCTACAAGCAATGTATACGTAGCGGAAATGATGTCCCGGTGGTGTGGGCCTTGGATGCAGATATGATCTAAAGGGGTAGGTTGTTCAAGAGTCAGAGAAGAGGCTTTGGAGGCAAAAATGTGTTGTATCTGTAGATAAAATACTGATGGGGTGGAATGCGAGCAGCTTTTTGAATGTCAGGGAAGGATTTAAGGTTGTGAATTACGGGATTGACCAAATGTTGCAATTGGAATAGATTAACCTCAGCCCAAGGATGGACTCGACCAATGGCCAGACTATCTGGGAGACTTGGATTAAAAATGATGTTGGTCAAGGGGGAACACTTAGAGCCTAGGATGAATCTAACCCTACACCTCCTCCATATAGACAACATAAACTGCATGGGTCCTAATATGAGAGGAGAGGTAGTGCGGGCTGTGACAAAATAAGTCCCCCTCATTCCCTCTTTACACCAAGTCATGGCCAGCATGCACGCCTCGGTTAGCTAGTCGCTGTGGGCGTGTGCATGTGGGGGATCTGTGACAGCCTCTGATGACTCCTCTGTCATCCAATAAAGCTGATGGACCTCTGATGTCTTCCTTGTCCTACGATGAAGCTGATGGACCTCTGATGTCTCCCTCTGATGTCTCTGATGAATTGATGGACCTCTGATGACTCTCCCTGTCCTCCAATGAAGCTGATGGACTCTGATGTCTCCCTTGTCCTACGATGAAGAAGCTGATGGACCTCTGATGTCTCCCCTGTCCTCTGATGAAGCTGATAGACCTTTGATGTCTCCTCTGTCCTCTGATGAAGCTAATGGACCTCTGATGTCTCCCCCTGTCTCCAATGAGGCTGATGGACCTCTGATGTCTGCCTATGTCCTCTGATGAAGCTGATGGACCTCTGATGCTGATGAAAGCTGATGGACCTCTGATGTCTCTTGTCCTCTGTTCTACAATGAAGCTGATGGACCTCTCCCCTGTTCTCAGATGAAGCTGATGGACCTCTAATGTCTCTCCTGTCATCTGATGAAGCTGATGGACCTCTGACGTCTCCCCATCCTCTGATATCCACCAGTCAATGTTCACTGAAGGAAGGGGGGATCCAGGAGCGAACATTCACTAAAGGAAGGGGAGATCCTGGAGCAAAGGCTCACTCCAGGAGGGAGAAATCCAGGAGTGAACGTTCACCATGGGAAGTGGAAATTTAGGAGTAAATGTTCAATGAAAGAAGGGGGAGATCCAGGAGAGAATGTTCACTAATCTCCCACCCCTCTAACTGGCATCACCCCCTGTGCCGATCCTAGGTGTGCCTGGAGGAGAGCAGAAGAATGACTCTGTTGTGTCAGACTTCTCCCTTCTAACCCCCGACACCACAAGCCCAATAGGCAAACACTGCGCCCAACTGATGCTTCATAGCTACTTTCCAAGGTAGAGCTATTCCCTCCCACACCATGCAATATAGAGGCCTGAATACGCATGCGCGTGCCCGTATGGCACCAGTAACTTCAGTCTCTTGGTAACAGGATGAATGTTGGGGTCTTCAGCGAGACACTTTCATTGGTGCACTTACACTCCTATGGTAAAGTATCATTGTAATCCCGTGGCAGGATTTGTATAGCAAAGCAAACACTGTGTCTGTATAGCAGGACCATCTACACAACCCAGTGCCTGGTGAGTATGGGAGAAGTGTCATGTCTCTGTGTGCCGTGTTCCTGTCATCTGCCAGGGGGCAAAATCCCTCTCACCAGATCCTGGGACTAAGGCCCAAACCATGGTCCTGGAAATGACCGGCTCCTGTGGTCACCTCACGATGAGCCCTTCACACTGTCGGTGTAGGCACTGTACTGTAGGCCACATCTCTCAGGTTGGATGTTCCCTGACTGATGCAGATACCTAAACATGGAGTGAACTGACCCTGAGCACTTCTCTGCCAGGTCCAGACTGTCTCCTGCCACATGCAGACTGCCTCCCCTCAGGAAAAACAAGATGGAGTCCTTCACTCTGCTCTCACTAAGCATGCTGGTCTCTGTAGTTCCATCCCCCTCATATCAGCCTATCAGGCCATTTCTGTTCAGGACTGCATATTCCACAATGCTTTGCAGCTGCACCTCCTGCTTGAGAAAGTCCCTGTCATTGGCTCCTTTAATACCTCTTCTGATTGGCTCTCTCTGTATTACAGTCTGAGAGGAGAAGGGAGGGGCTGAAATCCCTGACTGCCTTGTGTGTCCAGTGCAAGTGTCAGATTTCACAGGAGATGCCAGTCAGCAGGTTACAGCAGTCACAGATAGGAGTCATTTCCTCCCCTACACAAGGATCTACAGTCCATACACACCCAGCACAAGGCCGGGGCCACACTACCAGACGCTTCTCGGGGCTGCAGTTCCTCTGAGCTCCACAAGGTGGGGATCTCACTTCTACCCACACAGGAAGTCTCTATGGAAGACAGGAAGTGATGTCAGGTACAGACAGGAAGTGATGTCAGGTACAGACAGGAAGTTTCGGGTGAGAGCTGAGTTGGGAGGAAGCAGAGAGGAGACGTTGGAAGTGGAAGTGGCAGCAGAGGAGGTAATAAGATGTTATTTCCTATTTACACCCAGTAACCCCCCATCATGTCCGTCCTCTTCCTCCATATTCACATCCGTCCTTCCTCCATAGTCACGTCCGTCCTCTTCCTCCATAGTCACGTCCGTCCTCTTCCTCCATAGACACGTCCGTCCTCCTCCTCCATAGTCACGTCCATCCTCTTCCTCCATATCATGTCCGTCCTCTTCCTCCATAGTCACGTCCGTCCTCTTCCTCCATAGTCACGTCTGTCCTCTTCCTCCATAGTCATGTCCGTCCTCTTCCTCCATAGTCATGTCCGTCCTCTCTCCCTCCATAGTCACTGTGTCACTGTCATCTTTTCTCCAGCAGATGATGATACACACATATATAGTGTGGGAACCCAGATTAACCCCTTCAGGGGCAGAACATTCCCCCACTTCCGGGGGGGAACATTCTCCTCTTGTTGTGAGGTGTCACCTTCTCACCTCATCAGTCTATCCACTTTTTATAAGTGGCAGGGGATGGAGGAATCCTATGACATCACACTGACCTAAGTCCTCCCAATGGGGGATCCCTCCATCCAGAATCAGAGAATCCTATGACATCACACTGACCTCACAGCTCCTCCTCCCAATGTCCCTCCATCCAGAGTCAGAGAATCCTATGACATCACACTGACCTCCACACTCCCTCCTCCCAATGTCCCTCCATCCAGAATCAGAGAATCCTATGACATCACACTGACCTCACAGCTCCTCCCCCAATGTCCCTCCATCCAGAGTCAGAGAATCCTATGACATCACCCTGATCTCACAGCACCCTCCCAATGTCCCTCCATCCAGAGTCAGAGAATCCTATGACATCACTGACCTCACAGCTCCTCCTCCCCCAATGTCCCTCCATCCAGAGTCAGAGAACCTCCATCACACTGAATCACAGCTCCTCCCCCCAATGTCCTCCATCCAGAGTCAGAGAATCCTATGACATCCACTGACCTCACAGCTCACAGCTCCTCCATGTCCCTCCATCCAGAGTCAGAGAATCCTATGACATCACACTGACCTCACAGCTCCCCCAGAGTCCAATGTCCCTCCATCCAGAGTCAGAGAATCAGAGAATCTATGACCTCACACCTCCTCCCAATGTCCTCACCAGAGTCAGAGAATCCTATGAATGTCCCTCCCCAATGTCCCTCCATCCAGAGTCAGAGAATCCTATGACATCACGCCGACCTCACAGCTCCTCCCCCCAATGTCCCTCCATCTGGCTTTTTTTTTATTCTGATGCTCTTAGGATGTGGGGTCCCTTGGTATCCTCACATGTAAAGTGGGACTGTTGGTCCTGCGTTGTATGTAATGACATCAGAATGCTGCAACAAGCCCTATACCCTGCGTAGTGTGGGGGTCCTGTGGGGGGAAATTATACCTCAGCCTGAAGTGGGGCTTTAATAAAATGGAGACCTGAATGGAGAGGTGAGGAGGATTCTGGGAATATCATTTGATGTGACTATTTGTGTTCAGATGTAGAGTTTTCCTCCTGTGAATGGAGATCATATGACATCACATTGCCTCCACCTCCCTCCCTGATAGAAGAGAGAAAGAAGAAGAAGATTCTAGAAGTCACCAGAGAGATCACTGAGCTGCTGACAGGAGAGGTGAGCGGTGCCGGGAATTCTGGGACATTCTCCAGTAACAGACAAGGGATGTGTCTGGATGGTGACTGTATCATTGTGTGTGTCAGGTTCCTATAAGGTGTCAGGGTGTCACTGTCTATTTCTCCATGGAGGAGTGGGAGTATTTAGAAGGACACAAGGATCTCTACAAGGACGTCATGATGGACAATCAGCCGCCCCCACACATCACCGGGTAAGAGGAGACTTTATTGTAAAGGAGAGAGCAGTACGGAGGATCCACCTAGATCCCCCATCATCTGATAAACACATAGAAACAATGGATTCAGTCAGTGTGTGTGTTTCCTACAGATGGATCCAGTCATGGGAACCCACCAGAGAGATGTCCCCGCCTCTGTATTCCCGGGATTCCACACAGGAAGGTCACACCATCCCTCACCATCATCAGGTAGATGAGGAACAATCACTGATAGTATCATTAGGATCTGTACATTATCTGCATTGTTACCATTGATGGCATTTTTATTATTATATATTCAGAGTGGAAACCTGAGAGATCCTAAAGTTGAGGTTAAAGAAGAGATAAAAGAGGAGGATGAGGATGGGGGGATGGAGGAGGAGTCAGAGCTTCTAAAGAACACAAAGATCTGTACCAGGACACCATGGTGGAGTCATCCAGCTACAGGAACCCACCAGAGAGATGTCCCCGTCCTCTGTATTCCCGGGATTCCACACAGGAAGGTCACACCATCCCTCACCATCATCAGGTAGATGATGACAATTATTGGTTTGTGATTTATACACAGCATGTTTGTTACAATGAATGTTTTATTATATCTTTCAGAGTGGAATCCTCGGGGATGATAATATTGATGTTAAAGAAGAGTATATAAGAGGAGGATGAGGAGTATGGAGTGATGGAGGAGTTTTCAGAAGGACACAAGGATATGATGGAGCCACCTAATACCAGGAACCCACCAGAGAGATGTCCCCGTCCTCTGTATTCCCGGGATTCCACACAGGAAGGTCACACCATCCCTCACCATTACAAGGTTGGTGGGATGGAGCATCTAGAACATGGACTCATAGAAGATGATTTTTTTATGTGATGCCACAATATTGGAGTTTACATTTTTACAGATGATATCTTTATTATTATTTTGATTTAGGTTGAAGATCCAATCGATATAAAAGTTGAGGTGAAAGCAGAAGAAGAAGAGGCGTATGTGAGGGATGATCAGCAGTCTATGGAGGAGGATGGAATAACGGGGACATTTATAGAGGAGGACACTCCTACAGAGATCAGCACAGGTGGGTCATGAACACTAAATCCATTCCTCCACCCATACTGCTCACTGATTGGTCCAGAGTAGGGCGGGGACTGGGTGATATCAGCCTGTAATCCCCTGGTCACTTTCCTGAGCTGTGTTCCCCGTCCTGTATTCCTGGATTTCTCTCGGATAATCTTCCTTCTCTGTGCTGCAGACACAATTTATGTATCTAGACTGGATTTATGGAGGTTCTGGGGTTCAGCTGGCAGCAAAATGTTGATTTTCACTATAGATTGCATAATGTAGGCACCCAGGACATGTGACTGGGGTTCTTCCCCATGCCTGAGTCTAGTAAGATCTCTGACAGACATCCTCCAGGGTTCCTTGCTCTGTTATCTGCTGGCTGTGCCGGGTGGAGGGATATGTCTGTAGTGTCTCAGACCCAAGTCACTGAGTGCAGTCTCAGGAGATTACATACTCCTGACCCCTGCACTATATACTCTATGTTGTACATTACATACTCCTGACCCCTGCACTATATACTCTATGTTGTACATTACATACTCCTGACCCCTGCACTATATACTCTATGTTGTACATTACATACTCCTGACCCCTGCACTATATACTCTATGTTGTACATTACATACTCCTGACCCATGACCCCTGCACTATATACTCTATGTTGTACATTACATACTCCTGACCCCTGCACTATATACTCTATGTTGTACATACAATAGAAGAACACAGTCTGCTGAACATAATACTACACAAACATTAGATGTTGCCATGGTTTAATTGCACATAACATGTAAACATTCACAGTGCAGGGAGGAAAAAAGTATGTGAGGCCCTAGCTTAATGACTTCTCCAGAGCTAATTGGAGCCAGGAGTGAGCCAACCTTGACTCCAATCAGTGTGATGATATTGGATGTGTTGCTGACAGCTGTCCTGCCCTTAAAAAAACACACCTGTTTTGGGTTTAATGGTTTCAAGAAGCACTGTCTGATGTGAACCATGCCTCGCAGAAAAGAGCTCTCAGAAGACCTAAGATCAAGAATTGTTGACTTGCATGAAGCTGGAAAGGGTTACAAAAGTATCTCCAAAAGCCTTGATGTTCATGTGTCCACGGTAAGACAGACTGTCTACAAATGGAGAAAGTTTAGCACTGTTGCTACTCTCCCTAGGCGTGGTCGTCCTGTAAAAATGACTGCAAGAGCACAGCGCAGAATGCTGCATGAGGTAAAGAAGAATCCCAGAGTGTCAGCTAAAGACCTACAGAAATCTCTGGCACATGCTAACATTTTTGTTGACACATCTTACAATAAGGAAAACAATTAAACAAGAATGGAGTACATGGGAGGACACCACGGAGGAAGCCATTGCTGTCCAAAAAAGAATATTGCAGCACGTTGAAGTTTGCAAAAGAGCACCTGGATGTTTCCACAGCACTACTGGCAAAATATACTGGCGGACAGATGAAACCAAGATTGAGTTGTTTGGGGAAGAACACACAACACTATGTGTGGAGAAAAAAAAGGCACAGCACACCAACATCCAAAACCCCTCATCCCCACTGTGAAACATGGCGGAGGGAGCATCATGGTTTTGGGGCTGCTTTGCTGCCTCAGGGCTGGACGGATTGTTGTCATTGATGGGGAAAATGAATTCCAGAGTTTATCAAGACATTTTGCAGGAAAACGTACGACCATTCTGTCCGCCAACTGAAGCTCTGCAGAGGATGGGTGATGCAACAGGACAATGACCCAAAGCATACAAGTAATATTCAACAAAACAATGACTGCAACAGCACAGAATACGCCTTCTGGAGTGGCCCAGTCAGAGTCCTGACCTCAACCCGATTGAAATGCTGTGGCATGACCTTAAGAAGAGCGATTCACACCAGACATCCCAAGAATATTGCTACACTGAAACAGTTTTGTGAACAGGAGTGGTCCAAAATGGACTCAGATCGTTGTGCAGGTCTGATCTGCAACTACAGGTAAACGTTTGGTTGAGGTTATTGCTGCCAAAGGAGGGTCAACAGTTATTAAGTCCAAAGGTTCACATACTTTTTCCTCCCTGCACTGTGAATGTTTACATTGTTATGTGCAATCTTAACCATGCAACATCTACTGTTTGTGTAGTATTATGTTCAGCAGACTGTGTTCTTCTATTGTTGTGACTTAGATGACGTTCAGAGCACATTTTATGCCCAATTCATTGCAAAACTCCACGTAATTCCAAGGGGTTCACATACTTTTTCTTGCAACTGTACTTTATGTTGTAATTACTTACCCTGCACTATCCTTACATACTCCACCTGCACTGACCCCTGCACTATATACTCTATGTTGTACATTACATACTCCTGACCCCTGCACTAATATATACTTATGTATGTACATTACATTCTCCTGACCCCTGCACAATATACTCTATGTTGTACATTACATACTCCTGACCCCTGCACTAAATACTCTATGTTTGTACAGTTACATTACTCCTGACCCCTGACCCTGCATCCTATTTTTATTACTCTGTGTTGTACATTACATACTCCTGACCCTGCACTATATACTCTATGGTGTACATTCCATAGTCTGACCTTCTGCTCTCACCCTCCCTCCCCTCATGCTATTGTACACATATAATATGGATTCTCTTTATGTTACACCCATTTACTCCCATTACCTGTGGAACATTTTTATATCGGATGATGTAGATTGGAGCACAGACATTTACATGGTGATAAATAATGTGATAACATCCTCCAACTTTGGACCCTTAAACAGAAAGTGATAATGAGGATGGAGTCAATACCCAATGATGGTGGGTCTTCAGGATCAGTCCAGTCTTCATCTTTTGGTTGTTCTCCTCCCCCATCCTCAACTCTCTTACGCTCTGGTTGGGGCTCAGCCCCGCTGTTCTTCATGACTAAATCATGGAACTAAATAATGGAAGTGCACAGTAACTTCTTGTGTGGGAAGAGGGCGATGAGTGTATAGAGGGGGTGGGGACCCTCGTCCTATAATCCCCTCATCACTGTCCCTCCTATAAAAGACAGTTCTGGTTGTTTCCTTCACTCTCTGACTACAGGTCATGAATAAAGAAAATCGACTGGGTTAGGAGATCAGAGGAAGCCATTTTCTAGTTCCCTTGAGGGTGGAATTGTTAAGCTCCTCAGAGGATCCAAGCTGCCTGATGTGGGCGGAGTCCTCTGGTTTGGGGGGGAAACCCAATCGGACTCCTGTCTAGTAATCCTCTTTGTCTTTGTTATTTTAGTCCATGGCCCTGGTAAGTTAGAGGGAAAAAAAAAAATAAAAACCTCGTGGATTGTCTTCACTATCTGTTAGTCTCAGAACTGGAAAGTAGGAAGATTCTAGGACCATCTCTCAGTTATAGTCCAGGAGGAAAACCCGGCTCACTCCACATGTCCATCCGGCTCCACCCAGTGTAGATGCGACCATCGAGTATTCCTCGTATCCTGAGGTACCTCCAGACTGTGACGTGGTCCGTTGGACCGGCGCCTCCATCAGGAAAGAGCTTATCCCTGTACTGAGTGCGCGGGAAATGTTTCCGTTGTTAAATTCCCATTCTTGATGAGCATAACAGATCTCTCTCAGGATGAAAAACAATATTTCATGTTACTGTGTGCGGGAAGAGGGGTGGGGGGTGGGGGGGGGGAAGGGGTATCGTTATAAATGCAGTTTCTTAATAGGCATCAAAGATCTCACCTCGGGGGGAGAAGCCCATTATTCCTGTCCTGAATGTGGGAAATGTTTTTTGTTCATTTTAAAGTCCAAATTCTTTCCAAACATCAGGAGATCCTTTTTTCCACTGGGGATGAGGAGATGACATTATTCCTGTCCTGACGTGCACGCGGATATTGTATTTCAAAAGAAGTCCAATTTTCCAAAACATCAGGAGGAATATTAAACGGGGGTACGAAGCAGTATTCCTGGCTATGAGTGTGGGAATTGTTTTTCATCGATGTCCAGTTTTTTACAGGCATCAGAGATTTTCACATGGGGGAGAAAGCAGGTATTCCTGTCCTGAGTGTGGGAAATGTTTTTTCCACCAGAGGTCCACATGTTTGCACACATCAGAGATCTCACATGGAGGAAAAGCCTGTATTCCGGTCCTATGTGTGTGGGAAATGTTTTACAGAATATGTCCCATCTTTCCAGGACATCAGTGAATCTCATACCACGGGGGAGAAGCCATAAATCCTGTCCTCGAGTGCGGGTAAATGTGTTTTTTACAGAAGTCCTGATCTTTCCGAGACATCAGAGATCTCACACGGGGGGAGAAGCACGTTCCTGTCCTGGGGGGAAAAATTTTCCCTCACGGGAAGCCCCTGTTTTCCCGAAACTTCAGGGGGCCCCCACAAAACCCCTGGAGGTGAAATTAGTCCCTTGGGGGGGGGAAAAAGCCCTTCCCAGATGAATTTGCTGGGACACCCCAGCTCTCTTTTTGGGGAAAGAAGCACACCCGATATACACCCAGATTTTAACTCCATGGCTGACCCTTCATCATGGGAAAAAACCCGTTAATAAGGTGGACAGAGGCCCCTAAAGAATGGATAAAGTGGGGGGCCCCGGGGTTGGCCTTTGGGATATCGGTAAAAGATTAAAAATGGAGTCCTGCCCCGAGCACGGGGGCTGACTTCCATTGGGGTGCACCTAAATGGGTAGAGATGGTTAGTGTAGCAAATTTAGCTCCTCGGGAGCGGGAAAAGGGGTTTTTTCCTCGTTTTTGCTGTATTTGAGATTTTCCCTCGAATCATTCCTAATTTCCCCCCCCTTGAAATTCCTGTGAGGCGGGGAATTTATCCCCTGGCAGTTGAGGGGGAAAACAACCAAAGACTAAAGAAGGGAAAGGCCCGGGCCCGGGTTAAAACGAACGTTTAAACTTTGGTCCCCCAAATCTATGAAACCCCCACACCTTATCAAAAAAAAGGGAAAAATTCCTCAGATCAACTGAAAAGGTTCATTACGGATATGAAGCTGGAAATTTTTAGTGTAGAGTTTCCC